CCCCAAAACCCCAAAACCCCAAAACCCCAAAACCCCAAAACCCCAAAACCCCTTCGCTTGGATTTAAAGTTGAAAAGTATTAAATCAACTGGAAATTTAAGTCAGGATATCATATATCATCTAGTTGGTCCAGATTAGACGAGAAAAACTTTCATTTGAACTTCTGAAGCTGTCCATGGTTATTATGCTTCTAAATTAGGCTCCTATAACAAAAGCAGAGCATCTTCCATACCAGATTTAGCATGATTCTAAGTGTACTCTTGCCAGCCAGTTAATTACTACTCTCTAATATAACAGACAAGTCTTGACCAATTTGAGAATACAAACTTCGGTAAGTATAAACACTAAATTTGGCTAACAAAGTAAAAGCTTTCAAGGCAAGAATATCTCATTTCAGAGCTAATGAATCGAAACATGAATTTTCTGAGAAGTCAGGAACGACAGGAAATTGAATGTTCTCTTCTACTATCTATATCTTATAATCTCCCATTTCTTTACGGCTTAAATAACGGAAATATATTGAAGAGGATGCTTTGCTCAGCACAAGCAGAAATCTTAGGAACCATTTCTAAAAGACACGTAATTGAAGAGATCTAAAGAATCTTAGACAAATTAGGATTTATGATTAACACTATTATCTTGATCTTGCCTTAAAGCTCTAAGTTTTCCTTATACTAGCAATGGTCATTTCAGGATTAGTGACTATATCCAAAGTCTTTCCTTCAAACTGCACATTGATACTATTAGTCTTGGAATCGTAGTCATCACTGGCATCTTCTTCATTTTGGTCATCAGGGGAGTTGCCATTGATCTTATTAACAAACTCAGCAATTTGTTGTAGGCTCTTTGAAATCCCTGAAATAGACCCAGCAAGTTTGTCACTTAACTCACTGTTGTTCTGCACAACTAATCCTGTATTATCAAGCACGAGGGCTTTTTCCATTTTCGTAATAATGTTTTATAACTTTGGTTATAGGGGTTTTGGGGTTTTGGGGTTTTGGGGTTTTGGGG